TTGTCTAGCGAAAAGCATTTCCCCATTGGAATGCATTGAAACCTGTTTAATGTGTTCCAATGGGGAAGAATCGTTGTTGTCTAGCGAAGATCGGCCATAGGAAAGCCGCTTTACGAACAGCCAATCAGATGTTTAAATCGCTGTCTTGCGAAGCTTAGGTCCCAAAAACACCCGTTTTGCAAGCACGGAGGGAGCTGTCAAAATCATTGTCTAGCAAAAATCGGTTTGCGAAGCAGAGACTAAACATTGTCCAGTGAAATTCCCCATTAGGAATCACTGTTTTGCGAATCACTATAGCGATCGCAAAAAGCCAATGTCTAGTGAAAAAACTGTCAGATATATATTAATTGCATTTTAATTGTTCTGAATTTTTATTGTATTTTAAATGTTGTGAGCTGCCCAGAGACCTTTAGGTAGTGTGGGCGGCATATAAATAAATAAATAAATAAATATTTCTGGATAAGCAACGAAATAAAAACATACCTTATAGAAGTTGGAGTTCCATCAAAAAAAAAAATTCTCAAAGTATACAGAGTAAATATATTGCAAAATACTAAACATAAAGGCAAGAAAAAATATGGAAGCAAGATCAGGTCATCCTTCTCCACATGCTAATTTCAGCAATAATTTTAAATGATTAGTTATCAATTTAAAACAATTAATAAATAGCTGCTAATGTGTTTCTTGAAATTAAAAACATCAGTGATTTTGCAAAGACGTAATCTCACCAGATTTTTAGGACCTGACTCCAAATGTTTAGGCTTGATCATTTGGGCCACCCTTGTGCACAAGCAATGCTGAGAAAGAAAGAAAGAAAATCATCAACATCATTCCCTCCATGGGCAAAGGCCTTCTTGAGGTGGAGGGGCTTGCATTGTTCAGTGAAGTTGAGAGTTATGCTGAAGGGCCTCCCAAGTCAGACAGGTTTCACCTGAGAAGCCAGACCAACTATATCCACCAATCATCAATTATGATGAGAAGAAATAAACAAATCCATACTGGATTGGTCATCACCCGGGTCAACAAGGACCGCGTCAGATGCTATAGCCCCTGGGCATCTGGTGACAAATGGGCTACAGGGCTCAGTAGACCCTGTTGAGGAACTAGGACAGGCTGCTACAAAGCTACTGGACCAACATAAATGCAAAACATGGGCTCTCAATGAAAATTGAGAAATTATGATATGTTATTATGAGGCAAACCCAACAGCCTGTGGTTTTTAAAAAAGAATGATGGAAGTTTGGAAAAGGAAACACCCAAGTAGTGACATAATTGGACAACAATTAATGAATGACATAATTGAAGAACAATTAATGGACCAGAGAAGGTTTATCATCTGAAGTAAAGTGTTTTCAGAACTGGAATTGCAAGAACCAGAAAAGGTGAGTTGACAGAGTGGCAAACATCACTGAGGGGGGAAACAGTAACCCATATTAGCCAGAACACAGAAAGACAATTCCAATTACAAAGTAAACCAGTGAAAGGTCTACTGAATGATGCAAATGCAGTCATCAAAACAATCCCAGACAGCACGCTAAAGGAAACAAAACCAGCTCGTGTATAGCACAGCTACCATCATAACCATGGAACTTGGTTACAAGCTTGAAAAAAAACAAACCCAGAAAACTCGTGGCACCCTAAAATGGAAAAATTCGGCTGGAAAGAAAAATAAAGAAATTCCGTGCAGACATTAGCAACTTAAAATACTTGAAAGATTCAAAACTTAAAAATGAGAAAGTAAAAGGCAGATTATGCAAAATATATGATCTAGAAAGGAAAACAATTGTTGAAACTATGGAAGAATTAAAACAGCAGATTACAGCTGCAGCAAAGAAAATTGAAAGATATGATGGGCACTTGAAACAATATAGAAAAAACACGCAATTTTGAAATAACCAATGATTATTCAATACATCACTAGGAGAAAATGGAGAGCAAAAGAAATTCAGCCCATGTAAAGATGATGCTCTAAAATTTTGGAAAGAAATGTGGGAAATCCCAACTGAAAATAGCAAAAAGCCCCATGGATTAAAGACATTTGTAAAGAAACTCAAGGAAAACAAATGAATGATATTGTAAGAACAACTAAAAGGATTAACAGGCAATTAAAGTCTGTGAAAAATTGGAGTACATCTGGTCCAGATGAACTGCACAGATTTTGTTTAAAATATCTAACGTTTCCTTCAACGTATAGCACTGCAATTTAACCTCTTACTAGATGACAACAGGCCGAACATTTCTGATAATAAAAGATCATCAAAAGGGCAATGAACCCAGTAATTATTGACCAATTACATGCCTTCCAACAGTGTTCAAGCTCCTTACAGGAGTATTTGCAACATCAATATAGTATTACTTAACTGAAAACTCCCTATATCCAACTGAACAGAAAGGGAACTTTTAAAAGTCAAGAAGTATGAAAGATCAGCTGCTTATAAATAAAATGATACTGAAGAATGCAAAATGACGAAAAACAAACCTTAACATAGCCTAGATAGACTATAAAAAGGCATTTGACTCATTGCCTCACAGCTGGATTAACACCTGCCTAAAAAATTTGGAATTAGTTAAAACATTCAGAAATTCCTCAAGAAAAACATGGAAAAACAGAAAACTGTCTTAATGGCCCATGCTGAAGAAATTGGGGAAGTTAGCATCAAAAGAGAACTATTTCAAGGGGATTCTTTTTCACCACTGCTGTTTAACATCTCACTAATCCCTATGTCAATCTTTTTAAATAAAAATGGATAGGACTACCATATTTCAGAACAAGCAGGAAAAATCAATAATCTGTTATACATGGACAACCTAAAAGTATATGCAAAAATCCCGCAGAGATAGAAACACTGCTAAACACAGTGCAAATATTTAGTGAAGATATCCAAATGAAATTTGGAATTGAGAAATGTGCTGCTCTGTCTATACACCATGAGAAGATTCAAAAACTAGATGGAATAGAATTTTAAAAATGGCAATATTACAAAATCACTATTGAGTGATGAAAATTATAAATAACTTGGAATACTAGAAGCGGATAATATCATGCACACAAAAGTTAAAGAACTGACAGAAAGGGAATATATCAAAAGACTGCAGAATATCTTAAAATCAGATTAAATGGGGGAAATGTAATCAAAGCCATAAACATATGGAAAGTTCCAGTAATTAGATACCCAGCTGGAATAATAGATTGGACACAAAATGAATCAGAAGAATTGGATCAGAAAACACAGAAACTAATGAACATGCATCATGCACTACATCCAAAAAACGATGCAGACAGATATTTACCACAAAAAATCAGAGACCATGGATTACTGCAAATACAGCAGGTAGTAGAGGAGGAAAAAAGAAGCCT